CTTTTTATTTTTCCAGTGTTATTGCAAGATGACGATTTCTGCTTGGTTGCATTGCACAGGTGTCCGACCGGCTTTACCATGAATAGAAATTACGACGAAAGGCTAGAAGAGATTTCGAGAGGCCTGCCACTTCTGGCATGCTGCAGACAACCTTTTTTCGGTGACTAATAACTTTTGGGGAGAACGTTGTGCCTTGGACGACAATACCAGATCTGGTACGAACAATGCTAGCCAGTGATAAAACCGCAAACGTGAACTTGATAAACCGTCACGGTCTGTGCTGCTTCTGTCATAAATGAATGAGATCTGAAAACTGTGCGGAAGAGCTACATGTACATGTGTAATAAATAAAGAATTAAAATAAGCATAAATATGACCTTTGACGAAATGGTAACAGTGTTCAACCACACAATGGTATTATCTGAAAAATGCCAGTGCTTTTAGTAGGAGAATCGCTGAGCTGGTAATTAATTCTCTCCAGGAACGTCAGAATCGTCACCAGCAGTGTGACCACCATGAGATCCAGCATTGGTCAGAGCAACTGGAAAAGTTGCCAGCTAAATTGAGAGGGCCAATGAGTGCCCAATACCCTGCGCATCCGTTGGCCTTGCTTACAACGACCGGTGTGTTTCAGTCTTCAGTGGATGCTACTGCGACAACCTGGACCTTTAGGTATGCACTAGACAACTGAGGCTGCCAAAGGATGACAGTAGGAACTAGCGCACTAGGATCTAGCTTCTCCAAGAAACCAACAGGACATTATGCCGACGTCCTCTGTGTGTGTGTGTGTGTGTGTGTGTGTGTGTGTGTGTGTGTGTGTGCGTGTGTGTGTGTCTGTGAGATGCATCGAACAGTCGAAAGCGTCGTAACCCGGAAGAACTATTGCGCGATTCCTGTTGGGCACGGGAGAAAGATAAAGGAATGTTGGCAAAGTCAAATTTCTCGGGAAAGGTGCACAGTTGCAGCGCACTAGCAGCAAATTGCGCGCACTGACTTGAAATTTTTTTAAAAATCTGAACACGTTTTCATGTAACATGAAGATCCAAATTTTGCGCTGGTTTGGGCGGAGCCCTATTCAAAACAACAGTAGTCATTGACAGGCTCGTGCGATCATGCATTTTTGCAGAATTTCATGCTGTAGTAAGATGGCTTGGAATCGTAGTAGCTAGAATTTGCGGCATACTGGTCTTGAAGTTCAGGAAATTAACTGTGGTGCTTCAACAGGGAACATTCCTTTAAAATTTCATCTTTCCGGCTTTTCTAGTTTCCCAGTTAGCAATTTTGCCACAAAAAATTTTCACGGGGTCATGCGTGAGAACCATGCAAACATGGGGGTTGAATTTGGAGCGTTTAAACTGTGCTTGAACTGGGAACATCCCCTTAAAATTTCAGCTTTCCAGCTTTTCTGATTACCGAGTTAACAATTTTGCTGGCAAAAATTTTCACGAGGTCGTATTTGAGAACCACACACCCCTGGGGGCTAGAATTGAAATGTTTATGTTGTACATTGGGCTGGGAGCATCCCCTCGGAATTTCAGCTTCTCAGTTTTCTGGTTCCCGAGTTAGCAAATTTTCCCGTCAGAACTTTCATGTGCTTTGCACGGTGCCCAGACTGCGTGATGGCTAGTGCCGCGGTTCTGGGGTTGCACTTGGCCGGGTTACCCACCAGCAAAGTTTTGCGCCGAAATCTGCTTGGATGTCGAGTTGAAATACCCGAACGGATACATACATACACATACACACATGCACGCACACACGAACATACATACATACATACACACACACACACACACACACATACACACACATGCACACCATGGGTCGTTGCAGTATGGGTTTTTGCAGTTGCATATATGCAATAAATAGCAGCGCGCACCAGAATATCCGGCGCGATCATGCGTTTTGTGCAATCCCGTCCACCGAATGATTGCCTATGAATGATTTTCTCTGCTTTTGCGTTTCGGTTTGTGCAAAAATAGTTGAAATGTTGAAAAACAGTAAAAAATTTCACGCATCGGCATGTGAAGTCGGGATTTGAAAGCTCGAAGGGTGAATATCCTTCCAAAACTTCAGTCTCCTAATTTTCTGGCTTTTGAACGATCTTTGAGACAAAACTTTCAGGTTGTCGTACTTGAGATCTCGGCATGCTTGGGAAATGAATTCCAGTTTATAAAGATCCTGTTTGGGCAAAAAAAATTCTGAAATTTTTAGCCCCCTAACTCTTCTGGCTCGCAAGATAATGATTTTTTCTCGCCAAAACTTCCACGGAGACGTTGAAAATTTGCGGAGTTGTACGTGGGCAGAGGATGCCACGATAAAATTTCAGCTTTTAAACGTTTGCAGTTCACGAGATAATAATTTCCCTACCAAAACTTTTACGGAGCTGTACATGGTATCCAGGGGTGCGTGAAGGCTGAATCGAAATTTGCGGAGGTCGCACGTTGATAGGGGATACCACTGTAAAATTTCAGATTCGCAACGTTCGTGATTCCGCAGATAATAATTTTCCCCGCCGAAACTTTCACGAAACTGTATGTGATACCTGAGCATGAGGGAACACTGAATTTGAATCTGTAAGATCTTACGTGAACAGTGGGCCACTGTGGAGCAGCTTTTCCTAAGCAGAAGTTTCATAAATAGGGCTTTTTGTGGAACAACTTTCCCTAAGCATCAGTTTCATAAAAAGGGAAGTCTGACGATCGGTTTTTGTGAAACAACTTTACCTAAGCATTAATATCATAAATAAAGAAGCCTAATGACGGGTTTTTCTGGAGCAGCTTCACTTGAGCATCAGTTTCATAAAAAGGGAAGTCCCTGGAGCACACTTCCTCATCCTTTCCGTTCTTCACCTCTCCCCTCTCCGCTCAAATGCTACTTAGTCAGTCGGCAAAGGATCTACGCCATTTAGTCCTTACATCCACCTATCCTTGCCCCGAGCGAAATCCGCAACATATCACCCCCACTTCCATCTCCGACATTCAAAATGCCGCCATCCGCCGTGGGACAGCCCTGCCTGCCGCCGGGAGAAAAAATTTTTTGCGGCTTGTGTATGAGACGAGCCGAGTTGTTGTAATCGCTGCCGAGCTGAGTTCCAATAATTGCCACTATGTTTTGGTAATTACGTGCGAAGCTTGGGCGGTTCCGCTACATGGGTTTTATGTGGGAAGGATAAGCGGGTGGGCGGAGGATGGGAGGGGGGAGGTGGTTACGGGCCCGAGAAGTGTTGCTTTGGAGATTGAGGGAGGATTTTTCTGTTGCAATTTATGAGGGGTCGTTAAATGAATAAATGTACAATCTTGGCAACGATTTGGCTTGCCCCTTAGGCAGCTCTTAGGGGAAAATGACTTTTGACCGGTCTAGCAGGAGCACCGTCGCAGTGGTTGTGCGCTCATCCCTAGCGTAGCTATGCCAGGTCCTTTGCTTCTGAGCTGCATGCCTCCAGCTACTGTTCGCTGCCTGTTCGAGGAGTGTGCCCTATCTCTTTGAATGCTGTAGTAGTGGTGGAAAGCGGTTTTTCGCCGGTGCCACCAGTAAGTTGTCGGCAGTATGCCCTGCGTCTGTCGAATTTTACTCTTTGGTAGGGTCGCGCTGATATCCTGC